CACAAACAACATGCAGTCAACACCATACTTTCACACACCCCTATGCAGACTGTACAAAGATAACACTACAAACAACATACAGTCAGCACCATACTTTCACAAACACTATGCAGCCCGTACAAAGAGATAACACATAAACAACATGCAGTCCAACACCATACTTTCCACACACACTATGCAGCCTGTACAAAGGTAACACACAAACAACATGCAGTCAAGAACAGCCACTTTCACTCACTATGCAGCCTGGCCACAAGGTTACACACAAACAACGTATTGATCGGCACCACACTTTCCTGGAAACACTGTCGCAGCCTGTACCAAAGGGGAACACTGGAAACAACGTACGATCGGCACCATGCTCCACACACACTATGCAACCTGTGCAAGGTTACACAAAACAACAATACGCAGTCAACACCATGCTTTCCACCGCACTAATGCAGCCTGTACCAAGGTTACACAAACACCATGCGATCAACACCATCACTTCCCTGCGCCCGATACAAGGTAACTTTACGCCAACAACATGCAGTCAAGAACATGCTTCACTCACACTATGCAGCCTGTACAAAGGTTACACAAACAACATCCGATCAGCACCATGCTTTCACAAACTATGCGGCCCGTAAAACAGACCTTCGCCGCCGATCCGCCTGTCTTTCTGTGCAGCCCGTACAAAGGTAACACCAAACAACAATGCGGTCAGAACATACTTTCACTCTGCCACTATGCAGCCTGTTACAAAGGATACCCACACAAACAACATGCGATCAAAGCACCATCCTTTCACGCACTATGCAGCCTGTACGAAGGTAACACACAAACAACGTACGATCGACACCATACTTTCTGAACACTATGCAGCCTGTACAAAGGGAACACACAAACAACGTCGCGATCAAACACCATACTTTCACACACTACCGTATTGTACCAAAGGGTAACACACAAACAACGAAAATGCAGTCTGCCGCCATACTTTCACACTATGCAGCCATATTACAAAGGTTACGCACAAACAACATGCAGTCAACACCACTTTCACCGCACACTATGCGGCCTGTACAAAGGTTACACACAAAACAACATGCAGTCAACGCCATGCTTTCAAACACTATGGCCCATTACCAAAGATAACATAAACAACGTACGGTCAACACCATGCTTTCACCATACTACGCGGCCATTACCAAGGTAACACACAAACAACATGCAGTCAGAACATACTTTCACTCACTGTACAGCCGATTACCAAGGTTACAAACAACGTATTGATCAGCACCATGCTTTCACAAACGCTAATGCAGCCCGTACAAAGGGAACACACAAAAACAACGTACGATCAGCGCAATACTCACCGCATATGCGGCCGTACAAAGGGTTACGCAAACACCATGCGATCAACACCATCCTTTCACACATACTATGCGGCCGTACAAAGGTAACACAAACAACATGCGGTCAAGAACATACTTTCACTCTTTGCTATGCCTGTACAAAGGATACGCACAAACAACATGCGATCCAGCACTTAAATCGCTTTCACGCACTATACCCGCGGCCTGTACGAAGGTAACACCAAACAACATGCGATCGGCACCATACTTTCCACCAGACGCTATGCAGCCTGTTACCGAGGAACACCAAAACAACATGCGATAAACACCATACTTTCCGCACGCACTATGCGGCGTGTTACCAAAGGTAACACGCAAACAACATGCAGTCTGCACCATACTTTCCGCTATGCAACCTGTACAAAGGTTACACACAAAACAATGTACAGTCAACACCATACTTTCACACACTATGCAGCCTGTACAAAGGTAATACTAAACAACAATGCAGTCAACGCCATACTTTCAAACCGCACTATGCCAGCCCGTACAAAGAGATAACCGCAAACAACATGCAGTCAACACCATACTTTCACACATGCTATGGCCATTACAAAGGTAACACGCAAAACAACGTAAGTCAAGAACATACTTTCCACTCACTATGCAGCCGGTTACGAGGTTACACACAAACAACATGTGATCAGCACCATGCTTTCACAAAACACTAATGCGCAGCCGTACAAAGGGAACACGCAAAACAACATGCGATCAACTATCCTTTCACACACTATTGCGGCCCGTGCAAAGTTACGCACAAACACCATGCGATCAAACACCATCCCCGCTTTTACGCGCTAATGCAGCCCGTGCAAAGGTAACCACACAAACAACATGCCGTCAGAACATGCTTTCACTCACGCTATGCAGCCTGTTACCAAAGGTTACGCACAAACAACATGCGATCAAACACCATCCTTTCACCCTTCATGCAATACCAGCGCAGAGGTAACACACAAACAACATCATGATCAGCACCATACTTTCCACCGCACTATGCAGCCTGTACCGAATTAACACACAAACAACGCCAGTCAACACCATACTTTCCGCACATATGCAGCCCGACGCAAAGATAACACACAAAACAACGTGCAGTCAACAAGCATGCTCAAACACACTATGCAGCCCATTACAAAGATAACATAAAACAACATGCAGTCAACACCATGCTCGCACACTATGCAGCCCGATACAAAGGTAACACCTGAACAACATGCGGTCAGAACATGCTTTTCTCCTCGCCGACTCATAAAGGTTACACACAAACAACTGGTCAGCACCATACTTTCACAAACACTATGCAGCCCATTAAAGGGAACCACAAACAACATGCGATCAGCACCATGCTTTCACCACCACGCTGAAAAAGAACCTTCAAACAACCATTGCGATTAACGCCATACTTTCACCACACACTAATACCGGCGTGTACAAAGGGTAACACAAACAACATGCAGTCTACCATGCTTTCACCTGCTATGCAATAACCCGTACAAAGGGTTACACTGAACGCATACAGATCAACCATACTCACACACTATGCAGCCTGGCCACCAAAGGTTACACACAAACAACATGCGATCAACACCATCGTTTCACACACACTATTGCAGCCCGTACAAAGGTAGCTGCACAAACAACATGCGGTCAAAGAACATGCTTTCACTACCGCTATGCAGCCTGTACAAAGGTTACACACAAACAACATCCGATCCGGCACCATGCTTTCACAAACACTATGCAGCCCGTTACCGACGGAACACTACAAACAACGTACGATCAACACCATGCTTTCACCACGCCAGCCCATTAAAGATTAACTTTAAACAGCAATACAGTCCAACACCATATTTTCACCGCACTATGCAGCCCGATAGAATGTACACAAAATTAACATGCAGTCAACACCATGCTTTCACACACACTATGCGGCCGTACAAAGATAACACACAAAACAACATGCAGTCAACACCATGCTTGCTGACGCACTATGCAGCCATTACAAGGTAATGCCACAAACAACGTACGATAAACGCCATACTTTCACCAAACACTTATGCAGCCATATTACAAAGGTTACACACAAACAACGTACCGGTCTACCGCCATGCTCACACACTATGCAACCTGTACAAAGGTTACCGCACAAACAACATTTGATCAACACCATGCTTTCACCAAACCTCTTGCCCATTACCGACGGAACCACACAAACAACAATGCAGTCAAGAACATGCTTTCACTCACGCTAATACGGCCTCAATACCAAGGTTACGCAAACAACATGTGATCAGCACCACTTTCACCACGCTATGCAGCCACCAATACGAAGGTTACGCACAAACAACATGCGATCAACGCCATACTTTCACACACTATCGCAGCCGTACAAGGTAACACCTGGAAACATCGTGCGATCAACACCATCACTTTCCACACTATGCAGCCTGTACGGTAACACACAAACAACATGCAGTCAACACCATACTTTCACACACTATGCAGCCCAGTACAAAGGGTTACGCACAAAGCACCATGCGATCAACGCAAATCGCTTTACACCACACTTTAATGCAGCCCATTACAAAGGTAACACACAAACAACATGCGATCAAGGAACATGCTTTCCTCACACTATGCAGCCTGTACAAAGGGTTACACAAAACAACATCCGATCAGCGCCATACTTTCCTGAAACACTATGCAGCCCGTAGAAACCGGAACACACAAAACAAACATGCGATCAACACCATCCTTTCACCGCACATATGCAGCCCATTACCAAAGGTAACACACAAACAACATGCAGTCAAGAACATACTTTCCTCACTATGCAGCCTATTACCGAGGATGCAAACAATACGATCAACGCCATCCTTTCACACCGCACTAATGCAGCCTGTACGAGGTAACACACAAACAGCTTACATGCGATCAGCACCATGCTTTCACGCTATGCGGCCTGTACAAAGGGAACACGCAAACAACAATGCGATAAACCGCCATGCTTTCAAACGCTAATGCGGCCATTACAAAGGGTAACACACAAACAACATGCGGTCTACACCATACTCGCACACATATGCAACCTGTACAAGGTTACACACAAAACAACATGCAGTCAACCGCCATGCTTTCACGGTATGCAATATATTTCAGGTTACACCTAAAACAACATGCGATCAACACCATGCTTTCAAACACACTATGCGGCCTCTACAAAGGTAACACACAAAACAACATGCCAGTCAAGGAACATACTTTCCTCACACTATGCAGCCTTATTACAAGGTAACGCACAAACAACATCCGATCGGCACCATACTTTCTACCGACACTAATGCAGCCCGATACCGACGAACTGCAAACAACATGCGATCAACCATCCTTTCACAAACTTACTATGCAGCCCGATACAAAGGTAACACGCTGCAAACAACAATGCGATCAAGGAACATGCTTTCACGCACTATGCAGCCGCAACAAAGGTAACACGCAAAACAACGTAGATCAACTCATACTTTCACACACACTAAACAGCCCGTACAGGTTACACACAAACAACATGCGATCAGCACCATACTTTCACTTTCCACACTATGCAGCCCGTACAAACCGGAACACCGCAAACAACGTCTGATCTTTCCTTCGTTTCTTCCTTCGTCCTTCCTCCACCTTCCTTCTTCTTTTATCCATTCCTCCTTTCCCATGTTCCCTTCCTTCCTTCTTCCTTCCATTCTTTCCTTCCTTCTTCCCTTTCTTCTGTCCTTTCCACTCTTTCCTTCTTCCATTTCTTTTCCTTTCCACTATCCTTCCTTCCGTCTTCCATTTCTTTCTTCCAGTCTTTGTCTTTCCTTTCCTTCATTCCTTTCATTCCTTTCTTCCTTCCTTCCACTCTTTCAAGCTTTCTTTATTCCTTTCCTTCCTTCTTCCTTTCATTTCTTTATCTGTCCTTTCCTTCTTTATTTCGTCTTTCATTTCTTCCTCCACTCCACTATTTTCCTATTTCCGTTATTTCTTTCCTTCTTTCCTGTGTCCTTCCTATTTCTTCCTTTTCCATTTCCTTTTCCATTTCTTTCTTCTGTCCATTCCTTCCTATTTTCTTGTCCGTCCTTCCTTCTTCCATTTCATTTCGTTCATTTCTTCCATGCGATCCATTCATCCTTCCATTTCTTATTCTTTCCATTTCTTTCCTCCTAAGTCATTCCTCCTTCACTATCCTGAGATCTTTTCCTTATTTTCCGTTTCCATTTCTTTGTCCTGATCCTTTTTCCACTGTGGGTTATTTCTTCCTTGATCCTTTTCCTTCCTTTTGTGTCTTCTTCTGATCCTTCCTCTGTATTTTCTGATCCATGTGTGTGGGATTTCTTTGTCTGGTCTTCCTTCCTCCATGTTCTTTGTCTGATCCTTTCCTTCCTCACTATTTTGGCCATTCGTGCTTTCTTTGTCCTGATCCTTTCATATTTCCTGTCTGAGATCCATTTCCTTTTTCCACATGTGTCTGATCCTTTTCCTTGCATGTGGGGTCTTCCTGTCTGATCAGTGTCTGTGGGGATTCTGTCTGATCCTTTTCCTCTGTGTCTTCTGGTTGTGTTCTCCTGATCCACTGGGTTCTTTGTCTGGTCTTTTTCCACTGGGGTTATGTCTGATCTTCCTTCCTGTCTGTGTCTTCCTGGGTCTCCTTTCCTTTCAGGTTATCCGTCCTTTCCTCTTTTCATGTGTCGTTTCCCATTTCTTTGTCCGTCTTTCCATCCTTTCCACACATATTCAAAGATATTTTCTGTCTCCATTTCCTTTCCTCCACTAAAGGGATTCTGTCTCTTCTGATCCTTTCCTTTTTCCACATGTATACAGTCCTGTCTGGGGTTATTTCTTGTCTGATCCATTTCCTTCTTCTTCCTTGTCCTGATCCTTTTCCTTGTGTTCCTTGTGGGGCTGGGGCTCTTTGTCCTGATCCTTCATGCCTGTTGATTGTGTCTGATCCATGTGCCTTGTCCTGGGTTTGTCCTTCCATGTCTTCTTCCTGATCAGCCTCCTTGTGGGGCTGTGTCTTCCACTGTCTGTGTGTCTTCTTTGTCTGATCCTTTGTCTTTCTCGTTTCCGGGATCTGATCCTTCCTGGGTTACGTTTCCTTCCTCCTTCTTCCTGTCTTTGTCTTCTGTTTTCCTCCTGATCCACTATTTGTCTACAGTCTTCCACTCAGTGTGTCTTTTTCTTCCTGGGTCCGTTTCTTTCCTCCTTCTTCTGGGTTATCCGATCTTTCCTTCGTTCCTTTCCTTGTGTTCCTCCTGATCCGTTTCTTTCCACTATTTTAAAGGTTGCCTCTTCACAGTCCTTTCCTCCACTATCGTTCCTGTCCGGTCCTTCCTTCCACTATTCCGGGATCCTTTTTCCACCTTCTGTGTCTGATCCTTCCTTGTCTCTTCCTCCATTCCTTCCTTGTGTGGGGTTCTGATCCTTTCCTGTTCCGTGCTGTCTGATCCTCCATGCATTCTGATCCGTGATCCTTGTCTGGGTTATTTCTTTCAGTCCTTCCTGTGTGTCTGATCCTCCATGTGCTGATCCGTATTCGTCTTCCATTTCTTTGCTTCACACACACTATGCAGCCTGTACAAACGGAACACACAAACAACATGCAGTCAACACCATACTTTCACACACACCTATGCAGCCCGTACAAAGGTTACACATAAACAACATGCGATCAGCACCATACTTTCACACACACTATGCAGCCTGTACAAAGGGTAACACATGCAGTCAAAACAACATGCGATCAGCACCATAAACAACATTTCACACACACTATGCATGCAGCCTGTACAAAGGTTACACAAACAACATGCGATCAGCACCATACTTTCACACTCACACTATGCAGCCTGTACAAGGTAACACACAAACAACATGCGATCAGCACCATACTTTCACACACTATGCAGCCCGTACAAACGGAACACTCAAACAACATGCGATCAACACCATACTTTCACACACACTATGCAGCCTGTACAAAGGTTACACACAAACAACATCCGATCAGCACCATACTTTCCTGAAAACACTATGCAGCCCGTACAAACGGAACACACAAACAACATGCAGTCAACACCATACTTTCACACACACTATGCAGCCCGTACAAAGATAACACACAAACAACATGCAGTCAACACGATACTTTTACACTACTATGCAGCCCGTACAAACGGAACACACAAACAACATGCAGTCAACACCATGCTTTCACACACACTATGCAGCATGTACAAGGTTACCACAAAACAACATGCGATCAGCACCATACTTTCACACACACTATGCAGCCTGTACAAAGGTAACACACAAACAACATGCGATCAGCACCATACTTTCACACACACTATGCAGCCTGTACAAAGGTAACACACAAACAACATGCGATCAGCACCATACTTTCACACACTATGCAGCCTGTACAAAGGTAACACACAAACAACATGCGATAAACACCATACTTTCACACACACTATGCAGCATGTACGAAGGTAACACACAAACAACATGCAGTCTACACCATACTTTCACTCACACTATTCAACCTGTACAAAGGTTACACACAAACAACATGCAGTCAACACCATACTTTCACACACAGTATGCAGCCTGTACAAAGGTTACACACAAACAACATGCGATCAACACCATACTTTCAAACACACTATGCAGCCTCTACAAAGGTAACACACAAACAACATGCAGTCAAGAACATACTTTCACTCACACTATGCAGCCTGTACAAAGGTTACACACAAACAACATCCGATCAGCACCATACTTTCACAAACACTATGCAGCCCGTACAAACGGAACACACAAACAACATGCGATCAACACCATCCTTTCACAAACACTATGCAGCCCATTACAAAGGTAACACACAAAACAACATGCAGTCAAGAACATGCTTTCACTCACACTATGCAGCCTGTACAAAGGTTGCACACAAACAACATGCAGTCAACACCATACTTTCACACACACTATGCAGCCTGTACAAACGGAACACACAAACAACATGCAGTCAACACCATACTTTCACACACACTATGCAGCCTGTAGAAAGGTTACACATAAACAACATGCGATCAGCACCATACTTTCACACACACTATGCAGCCTGTACAAAGGTAACACACAAACAACATGCGATCAGCACCATACTTTCACACACACTATGCAGCCCGTACAAAGGTTACACACAAACAACATGCGATCAGCACCATACTTTCACAAACACTATGCAGCCCGTACAAACGGAACACACAAACAACATGCAGTCAACACCATACTTTCACACACACTATGCAGCATGTACAAAGGTTACACACAAACAACATGCGATCAGCACCATACTTTCACACACTATGCAGCCTGTACAAAGGTAACACACAAACAACATGCGATCAGCACCATACTTTCACACACTATGCAGCCCGTACAAAGGTAACACACAAACAACATGCAGTCAACACCATACTTTCACACACACTATGCAGCCCGTACAAACATAACACACAAACAACATGCAGTCAACACGATACTTTCACAAACACTATGCAGCCCGTACAAACGGAACACACAAACAACATGCAGTCAACAGCATACTTTCACACACACTATGCAGCATGTACAAGGTTACACACAAACAACATGCGATCAGCACCATACTTTCACACACACTATGCAGCCTGTACAAAGGTAACACACAAACAACATGCGATCAGCACCATACTTTCACTCACACTATGCAGCCCGTACAAAGGTAACACACAAACAACATGCAGTCAACACCATACTTTCACACACACTATGCAGCCTGTACAAAGATAACACATAAACAACATGCAGTCAACACCATACTTTCAAACACACTATGCAGCCTGTACAAAGGTAACACACAAACAACATGCAGTCAGAACATACTTTCACTCACACTTTGCAGCCTGTACAAAGGTTACACACAAACAACATGCGATCAACACCATACTTTCACTCACACTTTGCAGCCTGTACAAAGGTAACACACAAACAACATGCGATAAACACCATACTTTCACACACACTATGCAGCATGTACGAAGGTAAAACACAAACAACATGCAGTCTACACCATACTTTCACTCACACTATTCAACCTGTACAAAGGTTACACACAAACAACATGCAGTCAACACCATACTTTCACACACACTATGCAGCCTGTACAAAGGTTACACACAAACAACATGCGATCAACACCATACTTTCAAACACACTATGCAGCCTGTACAAAGGTAACACACAAACAACATGCAGTCAAGAACATACTTTCACTCACACTATGCAGCCTGTACAAAGGTTACACACAAACAACATCCGATCAGCACCATACTTTCACAAACACTATGCAGCCCGTACAAACGGAACACACAAACAACATGCGATCAACACCATCCTTTCACACACACTGTGCAGCCCGTACAAAGGTAACACACAAACAACATGCAGTCAAGAACATACTTTCACTCACACTATGCAGCCTGTACAAAGGTTGCACACAAACAACATGCAGTCAACACCATACTTTCACACACACTATGCAGCCTGTACAAACGGAACACACAAACAACATGCAGTCAACACCATACTTTCACACACACTATGCAGCCCGTACAAAGGTTACACATAAACAACATGCGATCAGCACCATACTTTCACACACACTATGCAGCCTGTACAAAGGTAACACACAAACAACATGCGATCAGCACCATACTTTCACACACACTATGCAGCCCGTACAAAGGTTACACACAAACAACATGCGATCAGCACCATACTTTCACTCACACTATGCAGCCTGTACAAAGGTAACACACAAACAACATGCGATCAGCACCATACTTTCACACACACTATGCAGCCCGTACAAACGGAACACTCAAACAACATGCGATCAACACCATACTTTCACACACACTATGCAGCCTGTACAAAGGTTACACACAAACAACATCCGATCAGCACCATACTTTCACAAACACTATGCAGCCCGTACAAACGGAACACACAAACAACATGCAGTCAACACCATACTTTCACACACACTATGCAGCATGTACAAAGGTTACACACAAACAACATGCGATCAGCACCATACTTTCACACACACTATGCAGCCTGTACAAAGGTAACACACAAACAACATGCGATCAGCACCATACTTTCACACACTATGCAGCCCGTACAAAGGTAACACACAAACAACATGCGATCAGCACCATACTTTCACACACACTATGCAGCCCGTACAAAGATAACACACAAACAACATGCAGTCAACACCATACTTTCACACACTATGCAGCCCGTACAAACGGAACACACAAACAACATGCAGTCAACACCATACTTTCACACACACTATGCAGCATGTACAAAGGTTACACACAAACAACATGCGATCAGCACCATACTTTCACACACACTATGCAGCCTGTACAAAGGTAACACACAAACAACATGCGATCAGCACCATACTTTCACACACTATGCAGCCCGTACAAAGGTAACACACAAACAACATGCGATCAGCACCATACTTTCACACACACTATGCAGCCCGTACAAAGATAACACACAAACAACATGCAGTCAACACCATACTTTCACACACACTATGCAGCCCGTACAAACGGAACACACAAACAACATGCAGTCAACACCATACTTTCACACACACTATGCAGCATGTACAAAGGTTACACACAAACAACATGCGATCAGCACCATACTTTCACACACTATGCAGCCTGTACAAAGGTAACACACAAACAACATGCGATCAGCACCATACTTTCACTCACACTATGCAGCCTGTACAAAGGTAACACACAAACAACATGCAGTCAACACCATACTTTCACAAACACTATGCAGCCCGTACAAAGATAACACACAAACAACATGCAGTCAACACCATACTTTCACACACACTATGCAGCCTGTACAAAGATAACACATAAACAACATGCAGTCAACACCATACTTTCAAACACACTATGCAGCCCGTACAAAGGTAACACACAAACAACATGCAGTCAGAACATACTTTCACTCACACTTTGCAGCCTGTACAAAGGTTACACACAAACAACATGCGATCAACACCATACTTTCACTCACACTATGCAGCCCGTACAAAGGGAACACACAAACAACATGCGATCAGCACCATTCTTTCACACAGACTATGCAGCCCGTACAAACGGAACACACAAACAACATGCGATAAACAACATACTTTCAAACACACTATGCAGCCCGTACAAAGGTTACACACAAGCAACATGCGATCAGCACCATACTTTCACAGACACTATGCAGCCTGTACAAAGGTAACACACAAACAACATGCAATAAACACCATACTTTCACTCACACTATGCAGCCTGTGCAAAGGTTACACACAAACAACATCCGATCAACACCATACTTTCACTCACACTATGCAGCCCGTACAAAGGCTACACACAAACAACATGCGATCAGCACCATACTTTCACACACACTATGCAGCCCGTACAAAGGTAACACACAAACAACATGCGATCAACACCATACTTTCACACACTATGCAGCCCGTACATAGGTAACACACAAACAACATGCAGTCAACACCATACTTTCACTCACACTATGCAGCCCGTACAAAGGTTACACACAAACAACATGCGATCAGCACCATACTTTCACAAACACTATGCAGCCCGTACAAAGGGAACACACAAACAACATGCGATCAGCACCATACTTTCACACACACTATGCAGCCCGTACAAAGGTAACACACAAACAACATGCAATAAACACCATACTTTCACTCACACTTGGCAGCCCGTACAAAGGTTACACACAAACAACATGCGATCAACACCATACTTTCACACACTATGCAGCCCGTACAAAGGTAACACACAAACAACATGTAGTATGTAGATCAAGTAATATGCAACTGAAACAATAATAAAAATATGACACCCTGACAGTACTTACAGAGAATATTCGACCTTTGACACTTTAAATGTGTTCTCAAATTTAGACAATTGAATTACACACACGCTATTACTTGTATTGCAATGGTTCCGTAATTTGAGCTGTAGTAGTAATGGAATGGCCTCTAATTTCACCCTTATTGATGCGAAATTCACAAAATTTGAAATGTCGTACAACTAAGTGCATGTTTATTTTCAAGTGCTGTACTCGAGAGTTTGTGTACTGTCACGTGTTGCACAGCTGTGGTCCTTATCTGTGGTGTAGGTATCGTGCTATTGTACTACATGTAATATTGACGAGTTGTATATCTCTTCCATCCCACCAGTGTTTATTCCAAGCTGTAGGTTTTCAGCAACCCATGCTTGTCGTAAGAGGCGACTAACGGGATCGGGTGGCCGTCAATGACTTGGTTTGACACATGTTATCGCGTCCCAATTGCGTTAGATCGATACTTATGCTGTTGATCACTGGATGCTCTCGTACAATCGCCATGTAGCTGGACGGCTGAGTACGGCGTTAAACAACAACATCAAACTGTAGTGATGGTGAGGTTCTGTTATATCATCTATGGAGATTGGCGTACAAGTATACTAGCACACGTTGTAATAGCCCAGCGTTGGCTTTACTTGCATCCATCCATTTGGTTTATAAAACCTTATTCGTTCAAGAGAGCGGCAGTCGTCAGGATGTGGCTGTTCAACGTGTTGCCGGCAACCCTAAGGATGTCCTCCGTCACGACACACACAGTCTGGCCAGGCTTCAGTTTGGGAAGGATCTGTTAGACGACTACTGCAAGAAATATAGGATGGCTGTAGCACAGGGCGGGTCTGGGTGCAGAAAGGATCAGCACCCTCACTGTCTGGCTAATGGATCAGTGGTGCTAGGCAGCTGCCGCGTCAAGCGAGCTGTGTGTGTGTAAGTAATTACTTATTAACAAGTGTCCGGCGTGTGTGTGTGTGTGTAATACAAACATGCGCTTCATTACAATGTTATATTCATACAATTACTTAGAAATGTGCGTCAAGCGAGCAATGTGTTTGCAAGTAATAATACATTGCAATGTTATTTTCATGTCATTACATACAAATGCAGGTCGAGCGAGTAGTGTATGTGTCATTTTACATCTGCTTCATTACAATGATATCTTCACACAATTACTTACAAATGTCCGTCAACCGAGCTGTGTGTTTGTTGGTATTACACATTGCAATGTTAGTTTCATGTCATTACTTACAAATGTCCTTCAACCAATTATTGTTAAATTCTCAAACTTTAAAGACAAACAAAGAGTCGTAAAATCTTTCAGACAAATTCTCAAAGGTGACAAACAACATCGTGTGTCTGAAGATCTCACTGAGAGGGTACGGTGGGTGAGATCTCACTGAGAGGGTACGGTGGGTGAGATCTCAACTATTCCCAGTGATGGAGAAGGCCAGAAGTGAAGGAAAGTTTTCATTTCTCAGTTATGATAAACTTATCATTGAGGGTCAGTGTATGCCTACGATGATTCCAGTGGAGAGATCAAGCAAGTCGATCAGAGAGAACTGTGAGAGACGAGATCCCCATGCAGCCAAGTCATCGACACGCCCTGACAGCCAGTCTACATCGACACGCCCTGACGTCATCAAGCGTGTGACGAGCCAAGCTGCGCCTAGTATACCTCTTTTGAAAGTGCGCAAATATGTTTATAGCAATAGCGATAGACAACATTTCATTGATGTGTATACTTCTGACAAAGTGATGGGGATGATTTCAGAATTCATGGAATATCTAGATGGTGATATCAACCGTGCTGTCGGCAAACTGTCATATATTGTCGCTGCTACAGGGACACAACTCACATCGACCGTTTTTAATGTTCGACCGACTCTTACACAACCACCCTGGTTTGATAACGATTTTCAACAACTAACAGCAATGAGATATATATGTCTTCACAAACTAAGGAATATCAACTGTGACGATAATCGAAGGGATTACAAAGAATCAAAACGAGCCTTTAAAAAGCGTTGCACACTCAAGAAAATCGAATTTGATAAGAAAGAAGCAGACGAGATCGCCGATGCAGCAATTCATGGAAATTGCAAGGAATTTTGGAAAAGGATAAAACAAGCATTTGCAAAAGTAATGATTCATGGATTCAAGCTTAGGACTGGCAGAGTCACTTTAAGAAATTATTGAATCCTACAGTAACTGAAACGAACTCTGACTTTGATGAACATGTTAAAACCTTTCTTGAACACCATTCGTACCATGACTGTGATGGGTCAGCTAACCAGGACATCTATGTCGATGAGGAAATTTCTGAAGTAGGAATCAAAAATGCAATTTCTAACCTGAACAATGGGAAGACACCTGTTGTAGATTGGGTACCACCGGAACTTCCTAAACTATCAGCGGAATTTCTAATTCCATGTCTGAAGTTGTTATCTAATAAGATCCTAGATGAGGGTATATCCCCATCACACTGGGATATTGGAATTACCTTGTCTTTATTTAAGTCCGGAGATAAGACGGAGCCATCAAATTACAGAGGAATTTCACTACTAAATATTATGGTCTTTACAATAATAATCGAGTCACGACTTAGAAAATGGATTGAACTTAATGAAATAATATCAGAAAGTCAAGCAGTATATTTCGTCCCCAATATTCTGCTACAGATCATTTAATTACCCTGCAGGCATTGCGTTCCAAATTTTTGGGTAAAACTAAAGGGCATTTCTACTGCGGATTCATTGACTTTAAAAAAGCATTTGACTTTGTGAACAGGGATAAATTATTATATGTATTAATGCAACGTGGATGTCATGGAAAGTTACTGATCTTACTTAAAAGTATGTACGCATCAGTGAAGGCCTGTGTTAAAGTTGGTAATTCAAGAACAGTAGCGTTTGTTACCTCCCGTGGAGTAAGACAAGGATGTATCCTCAGTCCCATACTTTTTATTAATGCATTTGCCACTGAAGTGTATATGTCTTGTAACAGTGTTCGTTACCAAGGATATACAATTTCTGCTGTTTGCCGACGACATCGTTCTTTTTGCTACTAGTGCCATTGGTCTTCAACAACAACTTATGCTCCTGGAGCCTTTTTGTTTATATTTGGGATTGGAGTTGAATTTAAGAAAGTCACATATCGTTTTTCGAAATGTGGAATTCTGGCAAAATTGGAGAAATGGGTCTTCGATAATCAGCCTATAGAGGTTGTAACTTACTATAAATATCTTAGTATCGTGTTTTCATCAAGATTAATATAGACAAAGGCGTGTGAAACTCTTGGAAAACAAGCAAACAAAGCCTGCCATTCAGTGTTAAGAATCTTTAAGAAAAAGCAGGTAATTACATACTCTACGGCACAGATTATTTTTGATAGGAAGATAGCACGATACTTCTCTACGGAGCTGAGATTTGGGGACACAAATATTCAAATTCAATTGAAAGGATTCAAATGATGTATTTTAAAAGATTTCTCAAAATTGGAAACTTTGATTCTAAAAAGGCTTTCCTCTGTGAACCTGGACGTTATCCAATGTATGTCTTCAGTCAGATCAAAGTAATTAAGTTTTGGTTTAAACTTCTACACATGAATCAACAACGTTATCCCATACAGTGTTATAAGATGCTTAAAACTTTGACGATATGGACAAAATTAATTGAGTGTCAAGTGTGAGATCTATTTTATTCAAAAACGGATTTTCACACGTATGGTTAAACCAAGGTGTTGGCGATGTGCAGCTATTCATCCTAACCTTCGAACAACGCATCAATGACATAGCCTACCAGACTTGGCATAATGATATTGCAGCTCACCGTTTCTCAGCCACTATTCACAATGTAAATATGACCTTCACTTGGCACCGTACATCACTGAATTGAAACACAAATACTTAATACATGCGTGCTGCAAATTATATATACCGTAAATGTAGTGCTACACTGGTTAAGCAAATGAGTGTGTCATGAATAGATTGAATAGATGTTACGACTTGAATGAATCGGCTAGGTGAGACCACTATTCAACTGCGGTATTTACCAAACTGTTTAAGCAAGACTCAGTAATTGCATACCTGACCATATCTCTTCTTATTGTTTTTTGTGTAACTGCTGTATTTACCCATTTCCGTACATTCCGACTCCAGGAAATATTACATATCTGTGAACTGCGATAAGTCATGTATAACCTATACAGCAGCCTTTAGTCAACACTGTGCGATTATGGACTTTCAAGTAACACCCTGTATCCATTTTTCAATAGAAAGGTAAGGAAAATGGGTCGCACGCTATGGCAAGCGCAGGCTTTCTGAAATTCGGCTGCATTCAGCGTTATATATAATTCAGGGTGACATGATTACCTCGTCATTGTGCACATCATATCAACCGTCCTTTGTTTTTCATTTATATTATGCAAAATAGCATGACCCCATTCGATGAAACAATGGTTCATTTACCTTTCTGACCTGTGACGTACGTCATGCATACATTTCCATATTAATCAGTCCTCATGCATAGTAATCTCCCTGATCCACCTGATCTAAATGATCCCCCTAAGCCCTCTGATCTGATGCCCCAGTCGCAGTATGTGTCGACCCGTTCTATACTACTAATATAAGACAACAATAGAAAAGGCAAATTGTTGATTTGCTGAAGGCAAAATTAAAGATTTGGACTGAAAGAAAGAAACAATTGGAAAAGAAGAGCAAATTTATCAAACAAAATAAACTCTTTAGAAAAAATGAGAAGCATTTTTACAGGCAACTGAAAACAGAGGGTGGTGACGAACATGATAAACGGCCTCCCATGGACGCCAATGAAAGTTTCTGGAAACAGTTGTGGTCTGTACCCGGCGACTGTAACCTTGAGGCACCATAGGTCAATGAATACGATCATGCAATGCATAAGAAAATAACTAGGTCATTTGTCTGTTACATCTCACCAGATTGTCTGGAAAAGGTTATCAAACAGTCCATATCTAATACAGCTCCTGGGCCTGAGGGTATTGGAAACCGGTATTGGAAACGGTTCCCCTGTGCCCAAACAACAATACTTCACTGTTTCAGGTCTCTCATAGACACAGGGGATGTCCCTCCTTGGTTCTGCAAAGGTGGCATAATACTCCTTCCCCCCAAAAGGAGACTTGACTGACCTCAAAAACTCCCGCCCTATCGCATGTTTGAATGCACAATATATAATATTCACAGGGTGTTTGACAAACATCTTGTCAACTTACTGCTCTTCAAATGATATAATTTACAGAGAGCAGAAGGAGGCAAGAAAGGGATGAGTGGAGTGCAAGGATCAACTTCTTGTACAAAAATGATTTTTGAAGAGGCTTAAATATATCACCGCAACCTCTCCAAGTGCTGCATTGACTACAAATAACCCCTACGAATCAGATTTACTTGTCTTTAATGAGCTGCTGGTCGACTCAACTTGAGATGTACTCGCAATGGCAGGTACATACTTTGGAATCTATTCCAATCAGAAGGGGAATATTCTAGCGAGGTTCCTTTGCATTCTTTGCTTGTCTGTAAAACCTTTCTGCTGATTAGGGACCATCCTGGACCCCCTCAGCACAGACCTCCAACACAATCCTGGACCCACCATCCCCCAGCACATCTCCAACACCACCGTGGACCCCCTCGGCACAGGTCTCCAACACCGCTTACTCATCTCCTTTACATGGAGGAAATCGAGTCCCTTGCCAAAGGAGCTACTAATTTGCAAAAAGCAAGTTCTCTCCGGTACTTTTCTAATGATATTAGTATGACATTTGGACTGAACAAATGCAACACTCTTCATTTGGAACGTGGCAAGGTAATTAATGATGGATCAGTCAAGTTACAAAGGGGATGAGTTATTGACCATATTGTGGAAGATCAAGCCTACACCTATCTTGGAATGTAAGTTCGAGGAAAGTTTCAAATTTTACTGAGCTAGTCCTTTTCTATTCCTTTGGACTAGTCGATTGGACAAAACAAGATATCCAGAGTCTTGACCGCCTGACCAGAAGAATCATGTCTGATAACAGGTCTCACCACCCTCGTTCCTCCCTTAATCGTCATAGAATTTTGTCAATCAATTCTGAAGGTCGGGGTTTGATTAATGTGGAGGTCCTTCATTATAGAATTTTATAAATTAATGAACTTTTGCAAAGATTCATATATCGGATGATACTCTGATGATGCATGTCAAAACGCATGATAAAAGCAAGGAATTCCGTGCCAAGGCTGTTGGAAAGAATCTGAAATTTGAGGTTGATTTTGCTAATGGTGATGTACTCTTTGACGGTACAGCAATGGGAGTAAACCAGGTGAAGTCCTTCACCAAGTCTCCCCGATTTCTTCATTTGCGGAGAAACTTTCTGAGAAACCATTGCATCGTGTTTGCATGCAGTGTGTGGAACAGAACAATAATCCAACCGACTCGTTCGCCTGCACAAACAGTACATCTTAAAACACATGACGGCATGCTTCTACCACAGTCTCCGCCATGCCTGTGGTTTTAACTCCGAGGTCCATCTATGGAACGACCCTGAACATGTCCAGGGCGTCATGGAAAATGATGCTCTTAAACTTCTTTGGAATAGGCCCATATGGAGTCACAGAAGAATTCCTGCCTTGCAAGAAACCTGATCTTTTTATAAAGCCAATGAATTTATTTATGTTATTGAATTTTCTATCCCTTTTGACGGCATTGTGATTGGCAAGATTCAGGGAATGCATTCAGTGTAATGTAACAAACCTACTACATCAGTGTAATGTAACAAACCTACTACATCAGTGTAATGTAACCAGCCTACTACATCAGTGTAATGTAACCAGCCTACTACATCAGTGTAATGTAACAAACCTACTACATCAGTGTAATGTAACCAACCTACTTCATCACTGTAATATAACAAACCTACTACATCAGTGTAATGTAACCAGCCTACTACATCAGTGTACAGCGAACTTTACCCACAAGGCTTCTCCACTGCCCCCGTAGAGGGCATAGGCCATGGTAGTAATAATTCATAGCTCATCTGGTTTCTGATCATGGTGATTACAGTTCATGGTGATTATAGTTCATGGAGGAAACAGGCAATGTTGTTACAGGTTATGGTGATTATAGTTCATGGAGGAACCAGGTAATGTTGTAACAGGTTATGGTGATTATAGTTCATGGAGGAAACAGGCAATGTTGTTATAGGTTATGGTGATTATAGTTCATGGAGGAAACAGGCAATGTTGTTACAGGTTATGGTAATTATAGTTCATGGAGGAACCAGGCAATGTTGTTATAGGTTATGGTGATTATAGTTCATGGAGGAAACAGGCAATGTTGTTACAGGTTATGGTGATTATAGTTCATGGAGGAAACAGGCAATGTTGTTATAGGTTATGGTGATTATAGTTCATGGAGGAAACAGGCAATGTTGTTACTGGTTATGGTGATTATAGTTCATGGAGGAAACAGGCAATGTTGTTACAAGTTATGGTGATTATAGTAGGGAGGAGGAACCAGGCAATGTTGTTACAAGTTATGGTGATTATAGTTCATGGAGGAAACAGGCAATGTTGTTACAAGTTATGGTGATTATAGTAGGGAGGAGGAACCAGGCAATGTTGTTACAAGTTATGGTGATTATAGTTCATGGAGGAAACAGGCAATGTTGTTACAAGTTATGGTGATTATAGTTCATGGAGGAACCAGGCAATGTTGTTACAAGTTATGGTGATTATAGTTCATGGAGGAACCAGGCAATGTTGCTACAAGTTATGGTAATTATAGTTCATGGAGGAAACAGGCAATGTTGTTACAGGTTATGGTGGGTACAGTTCATGGAGGAACCAGGCAATGTTGTTATAGATTATGGTGGGTACAGTTCATGGAGGAACCAGGCAATGTTGTTATTGATTATGGTGGGTACAGTTCATGGAGGAAACAGGCAATGTTGTTATAGGTTATGGTGGGTACAGTTCATGGAGGAACCAGGCAATGTTGTTATAGGTTATGGTGGGTACAGTTCATGGAGGAAACAGGCAATGTTGTTACCGGTTATGGTGGGTACAGTTCATGGAGGAAACAGGCAATGTTGTTATAGGTTATGGTGATTATAGTTCATGCAGGAAACAGGCAATGTTGTTATAGGTTATGGTGATTATAGTTCATGGAGGAAACAGGCAATGTTGTTACAAGTTATGGTGATTATAGTTCATGGAGGAAACAGGCAATGTTGTTACAGGTTATGGTGGGTACAGTTCATGGAGGAAACAGGCAATGTTGTTATAGGTTATGGTGATTATAGTTCATGGAGGAAACAGGCAATGTTGTTATAGGTTATGGTGATTATAGTTCATGGAGGAAACAGGCAATGTTGTTACAAGTTATGGTGATTATAGTTCATGGAGGAAACAGGCAATGTTGTTACAGGTTATGGTGATTATAGTTCACGGAGGAACCAGGCAATGTTGTTACAAGTTATGGTGATTATAGTTCATGGAGGAAACAGGCAATGTTGTTACAGGTTATGGTGATTATAGTTCATGGAGGAAACAGGCAATGTTGTTACAGGTTATGGCGATTAAAGTTCATGGAGGAAACAGGCAATGTTGTTACATGTTATGGTGGGTACAGTTCATGGAGGAAACAGGCAATGTTGTTACAGGTTATGGTGATTATAGTTCATGGAGGAACCAGGCAATGTTGTTATAGGTTATGGTGGGTACAGTTCATGGAGGAAACAGGCAATGTTGTTACAGGTTATGGTGGGTACAGTTCATGGAGGAAACAGGCAATGTTGTTACAGGTTATGGTGATTATAGTTCATGGAGGAAACAGGCAATGTTGTTACAGGTTATGGTGGGTACAGTTCATGGAGGAAACAGGCAATGTTGTTACAGGTTATGGTGGGTACAGTTCATGGAGGAAACAGGCAATGTTGTTACAGGTTATGGTGGGTACAGTTCATGGATGTAATATGTAACGTTAAAGATCATGGAGGTCACAGGTCAGATTGGTTACAAATACAAATACACTAGTGATACCAATAGTATGCCTTCCGGTTCTTGCCTTTTATCGCGCATACAGAGTGGCCAAGACTTAACAATACTGCCATAAAGACCAGTTTAGGTGTGACAAACAGGTTTAAGTTACGACAATGACAATCATCCTAATAGTGATGTCTACTTCTGGGTAGCTGTCGTGAGCTATGTTTACTGTGTTGATTAATCTCGATCAATCCACAAAGGAAGACAGTTTCAATCATTTATGTACACGAAAGTATGCAATGTTGTTTTGTAATTATGCATTTGTTAAATCTAATTCCAATCCAATTTTCAGGGAGAATGTACTTGAAGACTTTGGCTGGCTCTCCTGTGCCCTTCAGTAAAGCTATCCGTTGAGTGCTTGTCTACCTGTTATCACCGGCCACCCAGCACCACCATACTCTATGGAATCGTCTGCCTGTTATCGCCGGCCACCCAGCAATACCGGACTCTGTGCAATCGTCTACCTCTTGTCACTGGTCACCCAGCAACACCAGACTTTCTACAATCGTCGTCCTGTTGTCCCTTGGACACTAAGGTGCGGGCATGGTCCCTGTCATTCATGTGTAATCGGACACTACAAGCATATGGTTAAGACAACAGTAGGTGACGAGTGGTCATATGTGTCCTACGTTTAGGTCATCTGGACAGATATTAGCATGGAAGTTGATAGTTTCTTCTCTGATGTGATCAGTAGCATGTATTGGTGTATCGCCAGTATTGATGACCACTCAGAAACACTGCCCATACGGACAAAAGCGTAAATAGGTACGTGGCTGGACAACTTGCATAGGGTTATAGACACACTGATTTCTGCATTGATACACATTCTGTCGGCTCTTGTTGATACACATATACACAGAAGTAGCTGTAGCTGCAGGGAGTTACATAACGAAACCGGTAAAACACCTCTCAAGAAAATGGGATAAAACAAGCCACTGTGTGTATATTAAGAATGATGTTATCATTGCTTCGGAATGTCTCTGAGAGTTAATTCCATATAAGATAGACATACATCATCATTACAACATCTTTTCAAGACCATGTTTCGCATTATGTCCATTCTTCCAGTTGCTACTCGCCTTTGGAATCTAGTACCAGATGATTGTAAGGATAGAAATAATAATAGTGGAGCTATGGAACATTTCAAAATCGTAGAGATTTTTACTGTCACTTTGCCCACAGTGGTTTCGGAATTAAATGTAGTCATCTTTATAGTCACACAGTTGAAAGACATGTTTCGAATGCTGAACCAACGACTAATCCCCTACTCACAGTCATCTTACACGAAGGGATATGAAACAAGTAACGGGAAATTAGCCACAAGATATCTTATAGGTATGTTTGTCCATGAATTCATCGGATAATACATGCTATAGTCCCATATGTTGACTGTAGTGCTGGTAACACAGACGTCCCTTTCACAAAACACAACGTAAATAGTTTGTCATTTATCATGAAAACTACACTTTTGTAGAAACGCACGAGCACCAGTATAAAATACGGTCAACTGACACTGTTAGTGATATCTCTGTTAAAGACACACATTGTGAAAGTGCTAACATTATCAGTAGCGGAGCGAGAATGAGCCATTGGAATGTCGGCGATGGGAGCTTGGAACAAGCAACCTGCCAGAAGGTTCGGCTGTACAATGTAGACCATCAACACCAGAGCATTCTCCATCTTCGCAACCAGATGCTCCCAGTGACGTCATCAACAGCGTTGGACATCGTATCAGCACACACACATTGATTAGACGTGTGCATGCTGTCGGGCTCTTTGAACAATTCTGGGCATGGCATTAATCTGCCAGCATCAAATGAATTGTGAAGAGTTGGGTACGATATCTGAGGTGTTAGAGCAACACGTACACAATGTAACACACAATAAAAACTCCGGTTAAAATATTCCCGTGTTTCCGCGAAGAATAATCCCAAAGCGCCAGATTTATTGTCACGTGTGTGTGTCAATCTATATTTCTTGTATTTTTCCTGCATGACCTGCATTCAACTGAGCATATATGAACCAGCTAGGCCTGTATACAGTCACCTGCAATTTGAATAAAATATTTCAAAACTAAAGCACAGTTACTGCTCCATTGCTCTATATGAAGAGTGTGTTCAGTAACAGGTACTCTATTCAGATATTACACAACACCGGAAAGTTATCAGGTTTCAAAGAGGTTCAACTGGGTGTACAATGCAACATTGCCAGGGCAATTACATAAATGGATCACTGAAATTCAGCAACGACATTAGAAGTTGGTGAGCACTTCTGTCATCCACATGATGAAAAACAAAGAGAGAAACGCATAGTGTATTTTCACGAATTTAATCTGCTAACTGTAAAGTGAGATAACACATGTCATTCAGGATCGGTTGGAGCCAAAGTTCACAGTATGTGAGATCTAACGTCCGTTAACATGTATAGTTGCCCTCAATATAAATGGGGCCACCATGAGCCCCAAAACCTGCTCTTCGCTGTTTCGGCACGGACTAAATACGTCCATTCAACTGGATGCAATCCCTGCGACAGTTGATTTAACGTCGCACGTTGACGTTCACGTACGCTTCGGCTGAGGTCATCCCACAAATGATCGATAGGGTTGAGAACGATTAGGGAGGCCATTGAAACAATGTAATGTTCTCATTCTGAAGATATCAAATAGTGACATGTTCTGTGTGAGGCCTGGCATTATCAGGCTGGAACAACATCCTCTGCTGGTCAATTACAGTTAAATTGCCCAGAAGGGAGGACAAAGTTATCCTGCATGAAGGATATAGCTCCCCAAATCATGACACCTCCACTACCAAACTTTATTAGAAAATATCAATATAGCTAAAATGGATTTGGAAGAAACAGAAAAACCAAGTAACTCGAGGCTCTTTTATCAGATCTAAAGCAAAATGGATAGAGCATGGGGAAAAACAATGCCACATATCTTCTACACTTAGAACATGGAAAGTTTTTAAACAAATCCTTTAAAGAATTACATAGAAGCGATGGGAAAATATTGAAAGGCCCAAATGAAATTCTAGAAGAGACAAAACATTATTATGAAAAGCTATAAACTAGTAAAGAATGTGAACGAATTCTTTCTGATCTTAAATACTAAAAATGGTAATATAACATACTTACCCTGGGAAAATAGCCAAACAATTCTAAAAAATGGAGACCTATATCTCTTTTAAACACATCCTACAAACTAGCTTAAGCAGTAATTGCAAACCGAATTAAACAGATTTTACTACAAATTATCCACGAGGACCAAAAGGTTTGTTGAAGGAAGATACATAGGGGAAATAACCTGGCTTACATTTATTAATTGAATTTGAAAAACACCTTTGATCCAGTGGATAGTCAATTTATGTAAAATGCCCTCAGGTTTTTTCAATTTTGGCCAGAGTATTCAAATTGGATCACACTAATCTTTTGAGGGTATAGAATCCAGTATCTTAGTAAATGGCTATACGAGTTCAATTTTTCCATATCAAGATCCATTATCATGAATTAGTGTGTGGAGAAGTCCTAGCATTACATATAAGAAAAGATTTTAAAAAAAAAAATGGTGTTACTGTGGGCAATATAGAACATATTTTAGAACAATTTGCAGATGACAAAACTCTTACATTAAATGGATCAGAATGAGGATTACATGCTGTTTTCAACATTTTAATTTCTGTTCAAGACTAAAAGTCAATTGACCTGGATTGTGTTAAGAGAGGTCTCGAATAACAAACTATGCAAAGATATGAATTTAGATTGGACGCCAGAAGTTTTTTTAAACTTTTACGAATTGACTTTGATATAGATCTGGGAAATATGCAAATCCTAAACAATCTTAAAAGCTTTACTACTTCCTAAACTAAATCACTTAATAATATTGTACCAAAACCTCCGTTTAAAATCATAGACGGATTCCAAAAGAAATGTTACAACTTTATATGGAATGGAAAACAAACAATAAAGTAAAGAGAAGTATAATGATAAAGAAACCCTGCTAAATTTGGAGGAACTGGGGTACCAGATAGACAAAACACATTTTTTGCAGAAATTGAATTGGATAAGAAAATAATGCAAAATCCATTAAACTTTAAATATATTTCATGAGAGATATATCAGATATTAGTAGTTTGGCAGACCCGGTTTACATAAAACGAATTTCATTCCAACTGTTTGAAATACTTTCTGGAGGGATGTTCTACAGGGATGGCCCAATGTTTTAGGTAAACACTATGGAAATATTGAATGTTTTTCTGAGGTACTCTGTCAATCCGTCTGGTGGAATGACAACATAATAATGGTGGAAAACCTGTATTTTATTTAGAATTATTTGAAAGGGGAATCAGTTTAATGTATGATTTTATGAATGTTGACAGACTCTATAATTTTGCTGAATTTCAAGACAAATATGATATGACAATATATTGCTTAAAATATCAGGGCTTGCGCTCATCCATTAAAAATTTCATTGAAACTCAAACACAACCTAAAAGTGCACACAGAGTGTTAACTTGAAGTGGTTTCAGTTCAACCTTGTACATAACATTCGATTTACAAACACAAATTTACAGAATAGTTGCTATGTAGACGCAAGATTGTGTAAATTCGGTGAACCTGAATCTGAATCAGTTATTCATCTCTTATGTGAATGTGAATATACAAAAAGATTATGGAGTTACTTGTCGGATTGGTTAAACACTGTAAATGTAGGAAAAACGAAAAAAATATTCTTGGATTTGAAGGGAAACATAACAATCCATTGAATGCGATCAGTATTCTTGCCAAGCAAAATATCTATAAATGCAGTAAAAGAAAATCAAACCATACAGGGCAAAACTTATGGATAACAACTTCTTGATTTATTTTTCACAACGTTTCTGAAGAACGTTTAAAAACTACATCAAGAAATTGTTATCCATAAGATTTGCCCTGTATTACTACACCAACTTCTAAATGCCTTTGAAGAATTTCATAAAATCAAACCATGTTTTAACCTGTTAATAGAGAGATATACTTAACTACTGTCAGGCAACAAAGATAAAATATTTCCAGAATTTTTTTCTCATATTTTTTCAATTGGTGGTTACATTTCACATTATGTTTGCGGAGACATGAAAAATATCTTCCCCAGGGATAATTATCCCCAAAATCTCTGTTTTTGAAGAAAGTGGCAAATTCTCTACACCACTCTAGGTATTTTCTGTACATCATTGCAAATAAATAATAATACTTATAATACTTACATATTGTGATTTGTATAACACTATTGTTACATCATAATTATAACAATAACCTCACTTGAAATATGCCATGCTACCATGCCCAACAACTCCGTTATGTACTTTCGCACATGTTACTTTATATCTACCTTTTGTTATACATCAAAATGGGAAATAAAAGACTTGGATTAAACAAACAAATAATAATAAAAATATTACTCCAGACAATGAATGTTGGGAAACCAGTATCATTGTCACATTCAGTAAAGAATGTTGGGCAAAGTGTATCATTGTCACATTCAGTAAAGAATGTTGGGCAAAATGTATCATTGTCACATTCAGTTAAGAATGTTGGGCAAAATATATCATTGTCACATTCAGTCAAGAGTGTTGGTCAACGTGTATTATTTTACTCTCTATAAAGAACGTTGTACAATATGTATCATTATTAATTTCTGTGAAGAAGGTTGAGCAACGTGTATTACTATCATTCCCTTTAACGAATGTTTGGCAACATGACTGTATCGCTATTATTCTCAAGAAAGACTGTTCGGCAACAGGTATAATTATCTATCCAAATAAAGAATGTTGGGGGACATATATCAATTTCACTCCTTTTGTAGAATGTTGTGCAGCATGTATCATTATGACGAATGTTCTGAAACTTGCATCCTTAACATTTGATTATGTGATATGAGAACCATGTGAATATGATATTGCGTACACTGAGGAGTGATAAAAGAACTAATGTGAATTGTGAAGACCGTATCGAGGGGACAGTACTCTGAGAACTAACATAACTGCGAAAATTTACATAAATCTGTGAATACGATATCGTGGTGCATGGTATGAGACACATATCAGAAGTAGTGCGCCTTCGAATATGATATCACGGTGCCTGGTCTGAGACGCATATCAGCAGTAGTGTGTCATACGAATATGACATCGCAGTGCCTGGTCTGAGACTCATATCAGGAGTAGTGTTACGCAGCAGTGGAAGACTTAAAAATAACTCAACAATTTTCAAAGTTCATTATAGTTTTACTTACTGAAACATGAACAAACGAAATATTTAGAACAATATGTCCTAATTTGGCATAACACGACACGGTCCTTATGTGACCATCGAAACCACCATATGGTCCAATTGAAGTCCTTATTTGACTTCTTACAATTATGCCCTGATTAGGCTGTGTAAGAGACAGTCGCCGACAGCGTGGCTGCTCTATCGAAAACCAAAACGAACTCCTGCCTAGTTCAGTGACAATTGCACACTGTCGCAAGCCATTGCGCAATTCTGCACGTGGTTCACGCACGGCTATCCACCTCTTTTGAAGTGGTGCGTTCGTGCGAATGTTTGGATTTGTTCGGACCTTCTGTCCAAGTAGTGTGTCATACGAATACGACATCGCAGTTTCTGGTCTGAGACGCATATCAGAAGTAGTGTGTCATACGAATATGACATCGCAGTGCCTGGTCTGAGACGCTTATAAGAAGTAGTGTGTCATACGAAAACGACATCGCAGTGCCTGGTCTGAGACTCATATCAGGAGTAGTGTGTTAGACGAATACGACATCGCAGTGCCTGGTCTGAGACGCATATCAAGAGTAGTGCGTCATATGAATACGACATCGCTGTGCCTGGTCTAAGACGCATATCAGGATAAGTGCATCATACGAATACGACATCGCTGTGCCTGGTCTGAGACTCATATCAGGAGTAGTGCGTCATATGAATATGACATCGCTGTGCCTGGTCTGAGACGCATATCAGAAGTAGTGTGTCATACGAATATGACATCGCAGTGCCTGGTCTGAGACGCTTATAAGAAGTAGTGTGTCATACGAAAACGACATCG